GGGGGGCGATGGTCTCCCAGATTTTATGAGAGAAGGCTGTGCCAATCATCGGCCTGGCGAACGCTCCCCCTTGATCCTCGCTGTGTCTAACCATCAGTGTAGACCCCACATCGTCAGTATGCAGGGAGTCCGCCTGCCCTTCAGTTGGTTAATCACTAGTCTATTAGTTGGGTATTGGTGGATTTTCAAGGGGTCTGGGGGCGAGTTACCCAAGACTCTTCCTCCAAGGGTGTTGAATGGACATTTCTCTAGGTCAGAGCCGCTTGGAGGGCCTCAAATTGGTCTATAATTTGTGTTCTCAACATTTGGACATCTTCTTGTATGTTTCGATGAACCATTTCTCTGTTGAACTCCATGGATGCTACATATCTTTGAGTGGTTTCTCTTTCGTATTTGACTCTGCTTGTTGTTTGGGGCATTTCCAAGCTCACCGAACCACATTTCAGAATGTTGAATCCTAAATTGTACTCTGTAAAAATACACCTCGAGTTAGAGCTGAGAAAATGCAGATAAGAGAGAGAGAGTAATTGAGGAAGTCACGTAGAGAAATGGAGAGATGCCTATTTATTCGTCCTTTTGCCCCTTATTTATATATGCGTATCTTTACAATTATAGAAATGTTGGAATGATTATAGAAATCATCTTTAATACAATGGATATGCTAATTATTCATGTTAATATATTACCAAATTTGTTTTATAATTAGAATTTTAACACGATGGTAATTAATCTGCCAACTAGTTTGGGTTCGGTCGATTGAGACGACCGGTCGAATGACGACTGTGCCGACAGAAGTAAAAGTCAGTTGGTTGACTACTTACGATGAGATGCCCTTGTAAGTAGCTTGGGTGGTCGAGGCTACAGGCGTGATCCACCGATGCAGTCCTTCGACATCGCATGTTGACCGACTCTGATTGAGCGCTCGATTACTAATGGTTGGTCGGTTCATGTTCATTCAATCAGATGCTCTGATTGTCAGATCGCTATACTGGACCGTTCGATGACTTTGAGATTCTTGTTGACATGTTATGTGTATACAATAAATAATTTTGATGTATACATAAAAAAATATGTGATGTGGTGTTGAGTTTATTTTTTATACTATTATTGATTACTTAATAAATTTGTGTGATAAAATTTAACACACAAAAAATATTTCTTCCAAATTGAGCCAGGGTAAATAATCTGTTGCATACTCAACTTAATATAATCCATCATCCCATACATGTTATACCATATCGAGTAGTGGTAATTGTGGTGTCACAACATTATGCATTGAAAGATAAATTTTATTTTTTAAAAGTCAATAAATTATCTGATTTTGATATATTATTAAAGATTTAAATGTTATATATATATATATATATATATATGTAAATATGAATATTTAAATGCTAGTTATGTTAATAAATTATGTTGCATCTATTTAAAGGTGCATTTTCATACATTTCACACCATTCTTGTATTTGCATATCTAAGATTTATACTTTAATATATACATTCATAAAACTCAAATCCTTAAAATCATATAAAAAAACATCACTTTACTAACTTTGTATAAGTCAAATATACTCTTTTATGCACAGATTTATAGCAAGGAGTTATAAATAAAAGTATGAAACTTTAGGTGTACATATGTAAATCCATAATAATTGTGTGGTAAATTTGTAACAAAATATACTATTTTATGCACAGATTTATAGCAAGGAGATATAAATACAAGTATGAAACTTTAGGTGTACATCTGTAAATCCATAATAATTGTGTGGTAAATTTGTAACTTTCCCTATGTAATTGCAGCACATTGTTCTTTATTTACCGCACCATCGTTTTCCTCCAACCGTAGCTGGCTGCTCGAGAGTTGCCATCGGAGTCGATTGAACGCGATCGATGAGTCGAGAGGAGGGGCTGCAGCGGCGCTATAGCAGGCTCGAGGAAGCCCTCGAGATCAAGTCACTCCGTCGAATCATCAGCGCCTACATCAAGTAAACCCTAGCAAGCCAATATTCATCTTTTCCTCCATTAACTGCTCCCTAATCTAGTGTCACGTAATCGTCATCGGAACTCATGCTGTCCCTATTTCGCTTCTTTTCTTTTTATTAATTTCACAAAGCTTGCCTGCAATGCATAATTTTGTGAGTTCTTTAATTACTAAATTAATTTATTGTTAATTTTCTGTTGATTGCCTGGCTGTGTAAATAAGTAAATATGTGATCCATCAGAAGATCATGTTTAGTCAACTTTACCGGAATTAGTTTTTTAATTTCTTAAAAAGGGTTGCTGCATTACACAATGCCACAAAAATCTCTCTAATGAAATCCTTGATTATTGTCTTTGGGATTTTGAAGAATGGTTTTTTGAGGAAATTGTGGATCAGAGCAACTTTGTTGCGCTGCTATGATATGATGTCCATGTCATGTATCTTTAGTTTCTCTCACACAGCACACACGACAACAACAATGACAACCAACCTTTTTCTCACTAAGTGGGGTCGCCTATATGAATCCTTTTTCTCCATTGTGTCCTATTGTATCATATTTTCATTTAACTCTAATAGATTAATATCATTTTTTATACAAAATGCCCAAGTCTTTTTAGGTTTACCTCTGCCTTTCTTAACACAAGTTGAATCTAAAACATCCACTCACCTAACATGATCATCAGATGGTCGACATTTAATGTGATCGAACCATCTGAGACGACTCTCTCTAATCTTGTTCGCCAGTGGAGCTACACCAACCCTATCATGGATATGTTCATTTCTCTTTTTGGCTCTAAGTGTCAAGCCACTAATCAACCTTTGCATTCTCATCTAAGCAAAACTTAATGTTTTATTCTTCTCTTTCATAGGCCAACATTCTGCGTCATTGTAGGTCTCGCTACCATCTTATAAAATTTTAATTTCAGTCTAAGCGATACTTTTCTATCACACGATAGGCCGATGCATTCCTCCACTTCAACCAACTAACTTGAATTCTTCTAATAACATCCCCATCTATATAACATCCCCATCTATATCACCATCACTTTGAATAATAGACCTGAGATATCTAAAACATTCACACATTTTAATGATCTAATCACCCAAAGTTACAGATTTGTCACTAGAGCTACTATTAATAAAATTACATTCCATGCATTCATCTTTAGATCTACTCAAACGAAGGACTTTAGACTCCAACGTAGACCTCCATACTTCAAGCTTTTTCTAAACTCTTTTACTAGTCTTATCCACAAGAAGGATATCATCAACAAACAACATACACCAAGGTACATCCTCCTGTAAATGTCCATTAAGAACATCCATAACTAAAGCAAGAAGATATGGGCTTAAAGCCGATCCCTGATGTAATCCAACTGAAATAGGAAAATACTTGGTCAATCCTTATTCTGTTCGAACACAAGTACCAAATCTAATGTACATATCTTTAATGAATTGAATATATGTCATATCAACACATTTCTTCTCTAGAACTCTCCAAAGGGTTTTTTCTCAATCAATAAAAATTATATGTAGATCCTCTTTATTCTCTCTTACTTCTCCATCCAACCTCTCAGTACATGTATAACTTTCATAGTAGATCTGTTCGATATAAATCCAAAATGATTATGAGAAATCTTTGTATCACGTCTTAAAATATGTTCACTCATCATTTTTCAGAATTTTTAAGCATGACACATCAACTTAATTCCTCTAAAATTTGCACACTCTTGTGCATCCCCTTTATTCTTAAAATAGGGACCAAAATATTCTTCCTCTACTTCTCAGACATCTTTTAGTTTTTAAAATAATATTAAAGAGTTTAGTAAGCCAAAAAACTCTCAAATCTCGTAAATATTTTCACACTTCAATTATGATATGATCAGGTCCTACGGATTTTCTACCTTTGGTTTTCTTTAAAGCCTCATAAACTTCTTTTTTACTAATGTGACGGTAAAAATAAAATATTTATTAATAATAATAATATTAAGATCATTAAGGCCGATCATATTTTTTGGAACTTCATTGAAAATTTATCAAAATAACTCGCCCACCCATGTTGAATATCTTTTTTTAAGAAAATCACCTTTTGATTTTTATTAATACACTTAATTTGAATTAAATCTTTACTTTTATTTTTTCTTTGTTTGGCTAATATATACATATATTTTTCACCCTCTTTAGTATCTAATATATTATAAAGATCACTGAAAACAATTTTAATATCCCAAATTGTTCTCTTAGTCTCCCTACGGGCTACCTTATATTTTTCCTAGTTTTTTGAGATTTTTCATTTAAATCAATTTTTATAACACTACTTTTTATTTTTTACCTTTTCTAGAACATTTTTTATTCCATCACCAAATATTTTTATTTATAAAAATTTTTCATTTTGATTCTCTAAGTACACTTTTTGCCACTTGTTTGTTAGTGTTAGTTACTTTTTCTCACATTGAATTCACTTCTTTTTGAATATCCCAAATCCTTAAATTTTGAAGTTTACTCATAAAAATAATTTTATTTGTATTTTTTAGTGCTCCTAGATAATTTTATGACAATGTTTCATTGTGTTTTTTATTTTAAAACTCTTCATCTTAAAATGCAGAACTAATAATCATTATTGAGTACTTAAATTTTCACTTGGAATGACCTCACAATCTTAATACTCTCGACGATATCTTTTTCTCATATGAAAATAATCAATTTGTATTTTATTATATTTATTCATATGAGTAATACCTTGATCATCTTTTTTCTTCAATGAAGTATTAGCGATAACAAAATCAAACGCTAAAACAAAATCCAATATAGTTCCATCTACTTCATTAATCACTCCAAAATCTTGGCTACCATTAATATTTCTTAAATCTTCCACAACTCCACCAACATGTCCATTTAAATCTCCTCCAATAATATTCCTTATTTAAGAGATATCATTTGTATTAATTCTTCCAGGTCATTCTGAAAAATTTCTTTTAAACTTATATATAAGCTTATTTAAGGAGTATAAGCACTTATAACATTAAAAATGTTAGTATCAACAACAATCTTTAGAGCTATAATTCTATTAACTCTTACTATATTATCTTTTAAATTCTTATCTAGAATAACATTTATACTATTTCTAATGCGATTCTTAATATACTAAAGTTTAAATCTTAAGCTATCAATCTCCTTTGACTTTTCTTCAACCCATTTAGTTTCTTGAATATATAAGATATTTATCTTTATATGAGCCATAATATCAATTAATTCTATTATTTTACCTGTGAAAGTACCCATATTCCAAGATCATATCCTAATATCAGTTTCATGGACCAAATTTTTTACCTGCATCTGTTCGTAATGTGCGAACCTTTGCTTATTTGACACTACACCTGACGACGATGTAATGGTCTTTGCGCTTTTCACTGTATTTAAGTCATATAACGTGTCGCTTTCAGAGGACGCCCTAGCATTTACACAAGGATTTAAATGATTCATGTCATGATTTTTTGACAAATTTTACATTAGTTATCGATTACCTAACACAACCCTCTACTTTTTACACGCAAACAACTAAACAAAATTAAGTGACTAATTGGTTTGATGCTAAGTTAGTGATGAGTTATGTTAACGAGCATATATATATTGATCTTTTTTGATTTTAAGGGATTTTTCTCAATCTTTATGACTTAGGGTCTGTCTGGGGCAGCTGCAGTTTATCCAGCTTATACTGATAAACAACTTATCCTGATAATTTGCTGATGACCAGCTGATCCGGATAAGTTGACTGACTGTACTGACTGTTTGGTTACTGTTTGGTTATTGCGTTTTGAGAACAACTGATTCTGGATAAATGATTAATCTGCCTCTGTTCCAGATAAGCTGTTTAGTTATTTGGTTCGTGCGTTTTGTAAACATCTTATTTGCAAATTGTTTTACAACTTTATCAACCTTTTTAATGCAATCATAAAGGGGAGATAACTGTGAAGCTTGAAGAACATGAAAATATAAAATATTATAAAAATTAAAGTTCAAATGTTAAGACATGAAATTACAAAATATTTATATCACTAAAATATTTCAAATCACATCACAGAAGTACACTTACCTAAACAAAAGTGAAATACACCTTAACACACTAATATGTACTGTAATGAGACCCAAAAAAGAAGAAAAAAGAAGAAAAAGTAACATGTCAAAATTACAAGAAAAAAAAATTATAATGTTGACTTTAAAATGTAGCAGCATATCACGACTCATTCTGCCCAGCTTTGACACTCCAGAATCCCGAGCAAACCTGTCCGACTGGGATATTGTAGGAATGGAAGCACTCAAATCAGAAGCGGTGTTCTTAAATTTTGATACCGACGAACTTTGAGCCGCGGTGTCAAGTTGAGATAACATAGAAACAGACGCATTGTCGGCCTACCTGAAGAAAGTGCAGTCCTCCTGTCCTTGTACCAATTGCGGACACCTGTAAAATTGTCTCCCATAGCTATGTGGCTGGTGTGACGTGAGTAGCAAGGTCGGTAGTCCGCACCGACACATCAACTGCCCGAACTTCCCTGAATATTTGGAAGTCATCGTCCCGCAGTTATGAAAAGAACAATAAATCAGTCAAAAAATTGAGGAAATATAGAAAATATACTTACTGAAATATGGAAGTAACAGTTGTCGAAAAAAAATTTGTGTGGCCATCGAACCTGCTCCGCAATAATCTCGAATCTCGATAAAATCATTACAATTTAGCAGTAAAAAAATATTTTTTTATGGTAGAGAAAGCCATATAGTATCATTTGCTCCATAAATTCAAATGTGAAAGCAGTTCATTTTAAGCCAAAAATAGGATGTTTCAATCAAATTAAAAAGATTTTCACTTGGAATAGAATATGAGAATTATAAACCAGAAAGGATGTGTACAAAAAATTTTCCTGTGTAATGCCAACAGGAAAACATAGGATAACTGAACCACTGAAACCATAGGCTACTTTGTAATGCCAACAGACGTAATGCCAACAA